TTAATCTCACTAAACTTGCTTTGGAAAACACATTTACCTATTGATGATGTGTTGTTTCCTTGCTAAGATGTTTAGGAATGAAAAACAAATTCCTTAAAATGGTAGCTTTGTGAAAAATGTGAGCCAAATTGTGATAAAGTTGAAGTTTGGATATTACCTTACAGCAATAATAATGGTAATAATAATGATAAAGCTTAAAAGTTGATGAATGCTGTCCCATCATTCCTTTTATAGTCCAGCTTTTAAAATTTGTATACACTTTGTGAATAAAGGAACTTCCGAACAAGAATAATACACAGTTGCTTATTGGGAAAACTTTTTATTTTAAAATGATAAACAGAAATATAAGATATATAGGAAACCCCTGTGCTTTAATTTTACTTTTTGACATATAAACAATAATGCAATCTGGGTTGAAGCACAAAGCAGGAATCGGAGAAGAAAACAACCATTACAAGTAGATGGTCCACCTTTTAAATATCCATGAGGACTTTGAAGAACTGCTTGATTAGGTACCTTTAGAAAGCACCAAACCTTTCTAGTTTTTCAATTTCAGTTGAACTATTAAACTTTAGATTTGTCAACAACTCCTTTCTCATTCCACTTGCTCTAAAAACTAAGTAAATAATTGCCATAAAACGTCCATATCCTAACTTTAAACCCTAACCACCTAAAGACCTTTCCAAGGGAACCTACATGGGAGCAGATCAGGGAAGCACTGCTAACACTGGCCGCCCCTGAGCAGCCAGGCGACGACCAACTGCTTGCTATTACCGCAGGAAAATTGAAGTGAACAGTATTATTTTTACACTACCAGACCCACCATCAACAAGTTAAAAAAATCCTGTTTTCCAAGGAATCTGATCCATTATCGGCTGGTGGTCTGGAATAGTCTCCCTAGCTCCCTCTGGGTTGTTACAGCTTAGATCTACAAGTAGAAATTACATTTACACAACTTAAGCTTGCAAATAGCTCTCTATACATAGTTAAACGAGGCCTTGCAATCCAGTAGTTTTAAAGTATTAAAGGCAATTAAACAGTGATTTTGTCTAGTTATAAGTAATGGATTTTAAAGAGGTGAGAAAATTGGAGAGGAAGAGGAGTCATTTGGTTTATAAGCTGAGCATATTTACTTTCTTCAGCTGTAGAAGCTTCACAAATTTAGCACTGCACAAGTGTTGTTTTTAAAAAAATGCTACAAAATTAGTTTTATGTGAACATTTTCATATATTGAAAACACCACAGAATTTGTAACACTTGGAAAAATATATTCAATCCACAGCAATTCTCAAATGCTCTCACTGGAAGATACCATCACTGTACAGAGTCTACTGTTACTTTTAAAATAAGAAAGATCAGATAAAAAGGGTCAGTATCACAGACCAATGTGCTTGACACCATTGGGCTTACACATTTGAAGCCACCCAGAAGCTGGATAAAATGCCATTTTGACTTTTCCTTTTATGTTGTTTCTGCTTAAATAACATCAAAAGATATACAGACATGACCACTGGAAAAAATCACTTTCATCTGCCATCATTCAAACTATAGAATTAATGAATGAATGCATAAGATAGTATCAGTTTTAAAACTTGCTGAAATTGCTTAATAATATAAAAACATCCGCGAGGTGATTGATTTCAGGTTATTTCTCTGAGGCATAAGAGAATTCTAAGTCATTCTGGGTACATTTTATCAGGTCCTCAAATAAGGCAGGCATATCAGCTGTTGCATACTCTTTAAAAAAGGGTGAAAAATATTAAATTCAGAACCTCGTCTATTAGAAACAATCTTCACAAGATAATTAAATTCTTCAAGTAATTAAAAACTGATAATGTCAAATTTAATAGTTAAAATTTGAAAGTCAGCAAAATCTTGACTCATTTTATCTCTCGTGTTTCACAGTGTTGGCCAGATCAGAGCTGGATTAAAATACTCAATTGTTGAAACTGTAGGGAAAAAAACCCTACAGAGGAAGTGGAGTACTAAAAATTACACCATTGGACTTGGATGTGAAAATCTATTCCACCAAGCCTGTCTTTACCCCTTGGAGAATAAAACTGAAAGAATCATTTCAGCCCTACTTAGCCTTTCAGAAGGAAAAGGCGCCAGAGTACACAGTTTCATTTTCCTGATAACAATAAAAAAATTCTATCCCTAAAAGAGTTTAAAGTAGATTATTCTAGTAAGGATTAACAACGGCCACCACCACACCCCCAAACCCTTCTCCACGGTAATATTTAAAAAGTAAAACTAAAGTGTGCTAACTTACAATGCACTCGACACGCAGTACATATTTAAAAAGCAAAGTCAATTCTAATCATAAAGTTGGAAATTCCGTTGAAAATGGGACCTTTCACACCTATCCTTAAAGGATCTGCTCATTATGTCTGGATTTAGACAGTGTCTTCAGAAATGAGAGACTTGCGGACAGCCTCACACTCAACTGGCAAACATTTTGAGCAGTGATGCAGATTCGGTATTTTATAAGACTTTTATGCAAAGTTTTTCTTCTGGTCTGGATATGAAAATAGATCTTTACGGAGAGAACAATTTGCACTCCCAAAACTACTCCATAGTGCATGGCGGCATTCATGTTGTGAATTTAAATTTGGCATTTCCTGGGGAGGGGGGGAGACAGAGACAGACAGACAGACTGAGAGAGGGGGAAGAGAGAGAGAGAGACAGACTGGGAGGGAGGAGGTGGGAGAGAGAGGGAGATCGGGAGGAGAGACGGACTGACAGACGGACGGGGAGAGGGGCGGGAGGGAGGGAGCGAGCGAGGGAGGGAGAGGGAGGCGAGCTCTGCGATACCTCCGGGGAGTCAGGGGAGCCCTAGCGGGCGGTGCGGCCGTGCAGCCGGCGGGGCGGGAGCACCGGGCTGGCCCGCCGTCGCTCCGTGGCGCGCGCGGGACGCGGCCGCCGCAGCCTTATTGCTTTGACAGTTGCACTCATCTAGAAATAATGCCAAACGCCGCCCCGACGCGTACTCGCGACCCCGCGCTCCGGGAGGAAAGCAAGCTAATGAGGCCGGCGCCGGCCCCGGCCGTCACAGCTCCTCGGGCTGCGTCCGCTGCGAGCGGCGCGTGGCTGCCGGCCTCGCCGCGCCGCTCCG